TATGACCAAAACGCAAATGAACGCACTATCACATATGTCTTTCACGACGTTCTTTTCTTTCCCGCACTTCTCAGGATATTCACACGCGAATTGTCCTTTTTCATGACACTTGTAACACGTAACATTCTTCTTCGCCTTCTATTTCTTAGAACTATTCTTCTGAATTTCAGACTTCTTTGATTGATCCTGTTTGGACACAACTAGAGCTATTTTCCCTTCTTGATTTTCTGAATTCAGTCGGAGATCTTCCGCAACTAATCTTGAAGTCAAATTCCCAAGTGTCTGTCTCGCTGGATCGACACTATCCCATGCTGTTCTAAAAATTCCATATCTAGGCGACAAGCTGGCTAGCAGATTTGCTGCCACCGCACTGTCGGATATCTGTTCGCCAACATCCCGCAAAATAGCAGTCATATTCTGCACTGCTGCTATGTGCTGTTCCATCCTATCTTCAGATGACATTCGGTACTCATGAAATTTTTGCAAGAGCACCATCTTGTTGGCTTCCGACTTCTGCTCATGAAGCATGCACAGCTTCGTCTACATTTCTTTCGCAGTGGTACAAACCAGAATAGGATCTAATTTCTTTGCTTCCATTGATGACGATATGACAAACATTGTTTTTGCGTTCTCACGCACCCATGGTTTCTCATCAACCGTCCCAGGATTTGGCCTTTGCCTCGTTCCATCTACATCTTGAATGCCGTTAACATAAAATAATTACATAAGCTGGAATCTCCAGGCTTGGAAATTAGTTCCATCAAATTTTTTGACTCCACGAGCCCAGATGTCGTCTCCCGTGATTGATACACTAAGTAAGGGATCACCACCAAATACCGGTACACGTGTTCGTTCATTAATGGCCGCGCCACCACACTTTCAGTTCCGTTCGCGAAAAACTTTTCTTCGCGCCCGCAATCTTTAATTAACTCTAGAGTTAATACCAGCACTTTCACACACAGCAAAAGCGATCTGGACCCATGATCTTTGTTGAGAAAATGATAGATGAGCTTCTATGAATATAAAGTCTTCGATAAACTAGAACAGATTTACGCATGTACGATTTGGTGTTATACATGAGACTGGGAACGTAATATAAGTTACCAGAAAAGAGGTGAAACGAAGATTACGTAATCGCGTTGCGAACAACGATTGTCGGATCCATCTGATCTCGGTTCAGCAATATTCGACTTTAAGCCTAATTCACGAATGAACATCAAACTTATTCTTTAATATGGATATTGCAAGAAATGGAAAAAGTTTTATTCGTCGGATTATATAAATATTCAATTCTTACATTGAAACTCTTGAGCATACGATTAAAAATTAAATGTCAACTCTTAATTATTCATTTCGAATGTTTTATAAAAACTAGGCAACATACCTGTTTGCTGCGTGTTAAAAACAAACCATCCTGTTTTTTCCTTAGATGGCACGGTATGTGATTTATCGTCCGGAGAGAACCAATCGATGGGAGTCGTGTTATTGAAATCTGGATTCGATTCCTCGACATAAGTGATTGGTATCCACCACTTGGTAGGGTACTCCTTGACTTTCATCATCAGCTCGATCACAAAACGTTCCTGTGTCAATTCGTAGCCCCTATCGACTCTCTTAACTGTCAACGTTGGATATCCCGGATATTCCACCCAGTTATGCATTATAACTTGCACGGGCTGTTTCCATTTAATCCCACTCTCATCCAAAGCTTTCTGGAGGGATCCGAAAAGGTCATTCGAATCCACATTACCTAACGCGCTGCAACAGTTATTATTATTTATTAGTGTTAAGCAATACAGAAAAG